GACTAATGTATTCAAATAAATACAAAATATAGTAAAATAAACATTAAGGTGCAGCATTTCGATGAACTGAAATAATCTGTATTTGAACTTTACTAGTTCCTAAGCTGCCAGCTTGACATTAGGACTTGCTTGTCATTGTATTTTCATGTTGTTCTAAAGAAAGATGAACTTGTCCACATTGCTTGCCGAAAGGGCAGATCTGCTGGCACTAACAATGGCTCCTGCTGTGGAGAACACCCTCTCTAGGGACAGTGGCAGCAGATACAGCCAGGTAGCGCTTTGCTGACATGGCAACATAAGGATACTTGGCGTTTGTAATAGCTTTGGCTCGGTCTGAACTCTCTGCGAGTGGTGGAGGCTTAAATGCTAGTGGGAGTTGGGTTTGCACTTCAGTCTTTTTTCTTTTGGTACCGGTGATATTCACATTCGGGTGATGCCTTTTCAAATGAGTGTGATGTATTGCCAGCCGCGTAACCAATGTTAGTTGAACAATACAGACAAACAGCTTTGGTTCGGTCCACCTGTCTTTGTCCGTCATCCTTGTACGTAACTGCGAAACCAAAATGTTCCAAAACCGGAGCCTTCAATGATGCTGGAGGATTTTCGAGCTCAACTTTATCTGCGTTCGCCATTTCGACAGTTCCTCAAATTACTGACTACATTTGAACGCATCCCTGTGACCAGCTCTCATAGTATGCCTCTCGTCCAATGAAATGACTTGGTCGCTCTATGATATATACCTGAGATTACTTCCAGAAAGTTGTTCATGTTCTCAATTTTTTACGTTTAACGCTATATTCGTTCGGTACACACGTGTACCGAACCGAAGGGCCCGTACCGAATAATTTCAGTACGGGTACCGTTACACCCCTAATTGATTGATATGATTGCGATTTAAATCAGCATATACTTCTGTCAGGGGATGCCACCCCTCAAAATCTCCTGCCACCCTCTTGCCACCCCATGAATATTTGTCTAGATCCGCCCCTGCAAACATGTCAGAAGAACCGGCGCATAAGAAAACAAAATACAGTCAAACTAAGCTGAAATTCAACAACTTGAATGTCACATGCCTGACATCCACAACTCCGGAGCCTGGTCCTTCAACCATAGAACCAGCGCAGCCAGATGAACCCCAGCAGCAGCTCTGCGGCCGCAGAGGCTGTCAAAACCGCCGCCGCCGCCATCGTTGAACCGAAACAGGCTGGTTCCGACTGCATGGAGGTTTGTTGTCGGGACATTGTGACGGGCCAATAAAAGCTTATTTGGGCAAAGAGAAAGGTACTTCAATGCAGAATGGTACAAAAACAGAGAGTGGTTAATTATTTGCAAAACCACTAAACGAGCCTTCTGTGAAATATGCAGATGTGATGCTGTCAAACGGCTTGTAACTTTCTCCAAATGTGGAGATGACAGCTTTGTAAATACCGAGTTAATAACTGGAACTTTTCACAGAGCTTACTTCAGTCAAACACCAGTCAACATTCAGCTTGTCAAACAAGAGCGTAGCAGGAAAAAAGAAGAGATGGAATGAGCGACTGCGCTGTCATATGTGGGCTGGTCTGTATAGTTTAATGTACAGGAAAGGAGTGAGCAGAGGGTTGAGTTGTCCATTCTTGTTCTGTTTTCTCTGACTATCTTCCTCCTGAAGACCCTCTCAGACTTTCATTTGCTCGAGCTACTAAAGTACGTTACCATGAAAACCAAACAATGGTGTAGCTGTATTGAAGTTCGAGTGGAAACAGTAACATTTGGTGCGTTATGTTAGAATGAAACAAATCAGATTTAGTCAGAAATCGGGAGAAATGCGGGATAAATATGACCCCGGGAGGAAAACGGGAGTCTCCCGCGAAAATCGTGAGGGTTGGCAAGTAGGCTATGTCACATACACACGCACTTTTTGCCCCCCCCACTTCTGAAATGAATCCGGCGCCGCTGTCACGGAGGTGATGAGTCCGCCCACTGTGCACTTTGGGTCGGCCTTGGTCAAGCCCTTTTGACCCCCCCAGCCTGGTTCTCGTAAAAGTTTTTCGCTCAAATGACACCATGGAGGAATGTAACGGGAGTTGACAGGGGACTCTGCCCGCCTCACGAGTGCCTATTTTCGGACACTTTTTTTCACTTTTCCCCGGTTTTATTTTTTTTAATTTTTTTGGCTATTTCACCCGGTTTCTACCGGGACATTGCCCGGTCTCGGATGTCCCCCCACGGCCTGTGTCCAGCCCCCCACCACTCATCCATATATTAACGGATTTTGACCATTTTTGTTGCATTTTTCTCCTCTCCTCTCACTGATCGAATGGCAACGCGACCCACTGTCGGAGGGCCTCCGCGCCGGCCCGGCCTAGTGCCGGTGCTCTGGCGGTCGGTTCTTCCGAACTGCGGGTTCGACTCTGATGGCCGGGAGGGTGTGCTGCGTTGGGGTGGGGGACTTCCCCCACTCTGCGTGTCTCTTCCTTCCCGGGCCGGCCGATATGAAGCGTGACCAAGACGCACCGTCCAGGGGTCCCACGGGTCCCGCAGCGGGGTGGAGGTTCCCAGCTGGAACCTCCCCACCTCCGCCACGGTGCACCCGGCAAACACGGTTGTTTCTCGAACCTTCCACTGTTGTCTAGCGGGTGTAACTAAAATACAAGATGTCATATTTATATATATAAATATATATCTATAGCCTATAGATAATAAGTGTCAGTACGATTTTATTTTGTATTTGCGTGCATTTCCTGTTCGGAAAGTGGCGCTGCGGCTGTACTGATAGTAACAACAATACAAGGTGTCCGTATATATCTATAGATATATACATATAAGTGTCACGATCCGATTTTATTTTGTATTTGCGTGCATTTCCTGTTTGGAAAGTGGCACTGTACTGATAGTGGTGATTTTATTTTGTGAATTCTTAGCATGCACTTCCTGTCCTGAGAGTGGAGGTGTCCTGAGAGTGGAGGTCTGCACCGGAACTGTCCTGAGAGTGGGAGGTCTGCAGGCAGACCCCTCTCCAAATTACTGACTACATTTGAACGCATCCCTCTGACCAGCTCTCATAGTATGCCTCTCATCCAATGAAATGACCTGCTCGCTCTATGACGCGTTGAACCCAATGTGAGCAAATTACTCTGAATGCTGCGACGCAGCACCTGAGATTACTTCCAAAAAGTTGTTCACGTTCTCAATTTTTTACGTTTAACGTTATATTCGTTCGGTACACACCTGTACCGAACCGAAGGGACGATACCGAATAATTTCGGTACGTGTACCGTTACACCCCTAATGTACAATAATACCAGCTCAGGGTAATAGAAACAGTATGTTTTACCTCTCATATTTGTCTACTGGCATTGACAAAGGAGTCTGTGTCCTAGTTTAGAAGGTTTACTTGCATTAAAAAATAAATGTACTTTCCTGATGCAGGTGTCAGATCTGATGGGCATGCTGCCGCACCTCTACACAAACTTCCAGAAGTCCCATTTTGCAGGTTTTTGCAAGAAGCTCGCTGAAGGTAGGCTGTGCATCACTTCCTGTTTGGTTCTTTTAAGAGCAAACATTTAAGATTTGATTGGAAGGTGAACTGAAACGTTTTTGGGCGCATGTGTTTCAGGAGCAAAAGCAGGGGATGCTCTCTGTCAGCATGTGTTCACTCAGGCTGGGAGAGTCCTGGCAAAACATGTAGAAGCAGTCCTACCTGCAGCAAAAGAGGTAACAAATAACCAAAGTTACAGTAGTTTCACCTAGTTTCAATTTAGTTTTGACTTTTTAAATGTTCTAGTTCAGTTCGTTTTTCACAGTGTTTTATTTAAATGTTTTTTGGTGTTTGTATTGGTTTTACAGTAGTTTAAGTTTCCTTTTCCAGGTAAATTGTCTCAGAAGTGTGAAGCGTCATTTATACATGAAGTTCATGGTTTGAGAGCTGTGTTAGATTTGTGAGTCAGCGTGACTCATCTTTCACTCAGAATAAAACTTTCACCAGCATTATTATCCCACACACACAAACATGTCAACCACACATACTCCTATTCACATTTGAATTTCTTGTGATTTCTTTGTCCCTCTGTGATCGAAGCCTCTATTGAATGGTGACCTAGGCCTGCCTATCCTGTGTGTGGGCTCAGTGTGGAAGAGCTGGGAGCTTCTGAAGCTAGGTCAGTGTCACACATCAAGACAATTAGGTCCTTCATTAAACATCATTTGCATCATCTGCAAAGAATCCCAGCCATTTTCAGTTACCCCTCTGTTTCTGTATTTCTCTCTCTAAGGGTTCACCGAGGTCTTGGATAAAGTGGCATCATCTGACAAGTTCAAGGGCCGTTTCCATGGCTACAGCCTCCTGTCCCTGCAGCAGTCCTCGGCCCTCGGCGGAGCAAGTCTGGGGGCTCAGGGTATCGGCGCAGCTTTAACTTTGGACTACAAAGCTAACGTCAAAGTCTTCTACCAACACACTTTCAACAGCAGCCAATGATCCTGGAGCTCTTAACCAATCATAGTTCAGATAAAGGGAGATTGCATTATTAGCATCATGCTAAAGTGATGATGATAATAATGATTCTGTAATAATGATATTGCCTTTGATCTTTTACTACAAGATACAAAGAAGTTTGATGAAATTATTCAAAATCTTTGCTTTTACTGCTGCATAGTACCTATTTGGACCATTTCATTGATATTCCTTTTTGTTTTATTGAAAGTGTAAATCTTTGCATCTTTACAACAGTTGTTTACATTTGAAAATTATAATAAAAAAACGAATTCAGATTTGCAAATAATCTCTTATCCACTAAAGCAATTGAAGTCCTAAACTGTGATCTGAAATACCTGATAGTGTTTATAAACAAATCCTGAATACAGTTTATATATTTACTTTCTATTTGTAATACTTTTACTGAGATAATACTTAATGCATCTAAAAGGTCATATATTCTTTATAATATTTTTAAGTGGGATCTACATTTTTGGACATGGGGAAATCTGGTGTTCATTATGTTTTCCAAAAATATTAAATTATTTATTAATCTAGTTTTATTCTATTAACCAAACCATTGAATTGGATCTGCCATGCGTAATTGTGACTTTACAAGGATTATCATCACATCCAAAAGGGACTGCGGATAGACTTGGAGGTACAGTATGTGGCTAGCAACAGTCAAAGTAGCAGTATTTGTTGTGTTGCCACAGTCATTTGAATATATACAATTCAATTGAAAACAGCAGCAGTAACATTCCACTGGCTGTCTCTCTCTCACAGAGTTCAGTTCAGCTTCACGGCTGTTGGTGGTGCGCTGAGATTACTCTACCACAGAGAAATCTAAGGACCTGCAGATGCTTCCCTATAACCAGTTTAAGGTAAATATTCTGAGATTCAAGCCATTTAAACACTTTTCTCATCTTTTGAGTTAAATTATGCAATACAATGCCTTCTTATTGTGTTTATCTTAGTTTGTTTTGAATTGAAATGAGGTTAAAAGTAGACTCCTGCTGCTACAGCTAATCTTACCAATATACACAGATGATGATACAGTTGATAAATATTGCCTCCAACTTCATTATTAGCAGTTTTTAACTAACAGGTTATTTTTAAACCTGCTTTAAGGCTAACTGACATTTGGCCACTTGAGGGCAGCAGAAATAAACTGTTATTTTAATCCCGCTACTTCAAGTATATTTAGCTAATAATACTTTGTAAATTGTTATACATGGAAGACTAAAGCTTCTAAATCTGTGTATGTACAATTCTGTTATTTTGCACAATTATTTGTTTCTAAATTTACCCCCACATTTAGTTGAAGCTTTTATTTATTCTGTTACTTCTCTATCATTTATTGAGTCATTTATTTGTTATCAAACTAGCAGCTTAAGTAGTTGTATTGCAGAATTCACTTAAATAAAGGATCTAATGAGAAAGGCTCTACATAATTAAACCAGTGTAACTGATACCGTGTTAAACCTGTCTTTGTGCTATCCCACAGTACTTAATATGACCCCCCGTCACAATGCATGTGTTCCCCTTCCAGACAGTGGGGATGATGCCCTGGGAGAGATATGTCACTACTTACAACAGAGACTTTCCGCCCGTCAATGAGCGTCAGCCGCAGGTCAACCAGCCGAAGTCGAGGACTGAAGCTCAGGCTGCTCCTTCATTCATCAGCCCACCTCAGGTTGGATAGACACACAGAAAAAGAAAGATTTATTCAATTTCAGACAGACTCACTGACATCATGTGATTGTGTATTCACAGACCGAACGTGAAACCTGGCCTATATTCCACCATAACTTTTACAAGATGTCTAACAGCGCCTACGGCTCAGGTTTACAGGTGAGCCACAACAACACACACATGCACACATCTCATCTTCTGTTACCAGGACGACCCTCACACTTCCTGTTTCCTTTCTCTCAGCCTCCCTCTTGTTCTCTCTTCCCTGCTTCCTTGCATGCTTTTGGATTTTTACTCGGCGAGGAGGCGGAAAGTCGACTGCATTGTGTTTTTGATCCAAAAGGTAAGGAGTTCTCTCTTAAACACACCCATACACACACTCACAAATACTGTACACACATCTCTGAGCTGCCCGGTCATTTTCTTTTGACAGCAAATGTGTTGGAGCCGCAGGAAGCAAGAGATGAGCCACAGCAGAAGCTTGATGTTCTCTACGAGGAAGGTAACACATCTCCTTTTTTACTTTTAGGGAGCTTTGATTGATTCATCTTGTCATTTTTTTAGGGTTTATTCTGCCATTTCAGCCTTATATTATTTCAAGATACATTAAACTATAGGCTAGAGTCCTGGAGATATTATTAAACAGGTCTTCTGGGTACAGGCTCATGCGTAAACCCACCGCAGACAAATAAAAGAACTACAAAAGGACAAAAACAATTGCAAAATGACACTAAAAGAGGCTAAGCAAGACTTTGAAGTATCTGTGTCTTGCTCTTATGTAGGACGGTGAATGGGCCCACTGTCTCACAATCTGCCCATGACTTGAGTAAAGAACCACACACCATTTCCATTATCCCGACTCTATATTTTGGCACCTTTAGGTGTGATTGTGTTGTCGTCTCCGTCCTGCTGTGAAGACCTCCTCAGATCTGTCTGCAGTGAAGGCGGGTTGAATAACCTGCTCCACCTCCAAGGTAGAAAGAAAAAAACCTCACACAGACAGCTATTCTCTACTGCATTTATGTAAAAGATAACAACATCACAAAAAGATGGTTGGCAGTGTAAAGAACAAGCAGCTGTAGTGTACTTGGAGCTGAATGCTAACATCAGCATCATCTCAATTGCATTGCTAACATACTGATGGTGAGTAGGTATTTATTTAGTTATCACTCTGAAGTACATATCCTTTCCTGTGACTCTCAGCCAGAAAGCAAATAAGTATATTTTCCAGAATGTTAAATGATTACATTCAGTATGTCTGAGTCCCAAATCGTTTTTAAGTGAATTAACTGAAATTCCCAACTCTCATTAGATGCGGGAAATTGTGATGGCAACGCCTATTGGAGGGGCTGGGAACCGGCTTCTGGACTGACTAACAGCTCCTTCCTTCAGCCTACTTCGATCAGTTGGTAACCTCACTTTTTTACAAATGTTTACAAATTATTAAAGTTTCTTCCCACAAGCCTCTCTTGTACCCTATGTGCAATATTCTGACATTTCTCCTTTCCCCTCCCTCTCAGCTATGCATGGGACCCTGAGTGCTCTAATTCTTACTTCAAGATGCAAACCTGCCCCCCTCGTAGCAGCACTCTCACTCCGGCCCACATACAGCCGACCTTCCAATGCGCAGAGCCCAGCAGGACGCAGCCGATGACAGAGTACCAATCGAGGTACTCTGCTGCGGTAAGAGACTGTGTGTCTGTGTGTGTGATGATCATCAAACACCTTGTATATATTTCGCTAATCACCTTGTGTGCCTACTCCTAGTGGGCCCAGCCTAAGATGCAGCAGAGTTACGGTCACCATCGTCATTGACCTCCTCAAAAGACACTTTATTCTTCCCTCTGAATCTCATCTCTTGCTTCAATACACTGCAGATCAACCAAAATACATTGTTTGTGTCTTGTGTCAAACAGTTTAAAAAAAGGGATGCTATTTCTTCCAATCACTTGCACTTTTTAGCCTGAAAGGGTTACCACATGGGAAAAATCCTTCCTAACAGAGGTCAATGATTCTCGCCTCAGGAGGATACACAAGCTGAGGATGAGTCATAAAACAGCAGTAAAGCATCTGCTGGCAGGAAGACTCTTAAAGGAGACAGTCAAATGGGCTTCTTGACATCCTGAGGTTTAAATGTGCAACAGCAGTTAAGAAGTACTCAGATCCCTTTAGTAAACATACCACAATATAAAAATAAGTGCTGTGCTCTAGCAATTGTAAAAGTTGTAATGATTATTGCTTAGTCTTAGTTCTAAAAGTCTCTTGTACATGCAGCTTTAATGTACAAGTAAACACACTTAACAGGGTGAACAAAATAATGCCTTCTCCGGTTTTATCATTTATTTTTCAACCAAAAAACTGTTCTGCATTCACGTTCTGAGTAGCAGAGATTATTAGGGGTCACTGAGGTCATCATACTAGATTGATGATGTTCTGCTTGCTTTATACAACGGTGATCTTCCAATAGGGTCATTTGCGTCCGAGAGTGATGCCACACTCATTTACTGCTTCTGTTCGGGGGTTAGATGATTCATCCTTGCTGCTCTTTTTCTGAGACTCCCTCCTAAATGGGTAATTGGCACAACAATATCATGTGGCTTTTGTCATTGTAGTCAGACACCCTGAACAAGCCACTCGCTCCTCCTTACAGAAGTGGTTGACCCCACCACTCCAAAGGGAGGACATCATTCGGCCATAAATCCTCTGGGTCTGTTTCCGGAACCTTATATGTTTTGTGTTCAGAAGGACTGGAGACAGTAGCCAGCATGAGGCCTAAAGAAAGGAGGTCAACATGACCTGTGCGGCAGCGTGTTGCCTTTTTCCTCGTCCTCGTGTTTTCCAGTGAAGGAGGATTGTAGTCAGTTTGTCCTGACGTGTGAAGATCTCCGGTGAGGAGGTCCAGATTGAAAGAGCGTCAAGTCGATTGTGTAGTCTGATGTTTCATAGCCTTCCTAAAACATAGAAACATAACTTCAGTTACAACTTAATGACTTCTTGGGTTGAAATTGTAAATTTGAAGACAAAAAAATCACATTACATAGCATCAGGAGGTTCCCAAACATCCCTGATTGTTCCTCTGTTACTTTAATGGCTGCTAGACATTAATTGGCATTTTCTACATTAGGAGCACTTTGTTCATACCTGCAGCGATCTGCTCTGGCTCAAGCTCCATACCCATGTAATATTTCTCCCTTCTTAGTTTTCATTTCCTCCGATGAAGGCCAATGTTTGAACAATCTCATCACAAAGTTCATTCAGAAGATGATCACCTTCAGTCATAACAGAGTCATCATGGGATTGCAAATGCCCCAATAAGTGGTGCTACAGAAAATGGATATTTCAACTTCACATTTCCATGACTACTAGGCAAAATCTGCCAGCAAGATTTTTGTGATATGATCCAAAGCTTGAGGACAGATACTGAATGGTCCTTGTGGTCAGATTGTTTGTAACATTCATGTCAATAACAAAAGTATATTGAATAGTTTTGTCAAGGCTACATTTTAACAATACCCTGACAATTAAGCAGATTATTGTACAAAATAACACCAAGCATATATACCTTGACTATTACACTACTGTTCATTTAGTAAACCAAATGAAAAGAGCATTTCCCAATGAAGCAACATCGATAGTATTAGAGGTTATTTGAATTACACAAATCTTTGGAAAATAGAAGCATAAAACCATATTTATTTATTGGCGTCCAGTGTGCATTAAAATGTGACAAAAGACCAACAAAGAGCAACTGTCTTTTAACATCTTTATTCTTCTTTTTTCATTATTTTTATTTGTATTGAAATTCTTACTCTGTGTCTTCTGGACCTCTTTTCTTTTTTTTTAAACGGCGTATGTCATCTAAACGCGTCTAAACAAAATCACCAAAAATGATTTCATGTTGTACAATCCACCTGGCGGACATTCCTATTGGCTTCACCAGGGCGCCATTCACCACAACACTGTGAGGAAGTTCCATTTTAAACAGATTTCACACTTGCTAAGAACACACCGGAGTACTTGTTAGGCTGCATGGTTGTAAAAGGAGAGCTCAAATACTTCAATAAGTTACAAGTGCACAAGTGTGTTCTTAACACCTAAATACAACAGACATTATCACTGTTAATACTACAAATGAATGGTGACATTAAGAACATATATGTTCAGGTCACAAGATAATGCCTCTGCATTTTAAACCATAAGTGGCTGAGACTAGAACATGACATCTGGGTTTCCTGAAAAGCATCTTCACATAATACTACCTTTTCGACTCAATGGGAGATTATACTTGCACTAAACAGGCGATGTTTCAAGGAAAGCCAGACCGCAACAAAGATTTATGGTTAAAAAGAACTTCCTCAAAAGACGTCAACCTACAAAGAAGAACAGCAAGGAAGCCATACTGCCAGCCACATGTTCCATACTGCTTTATTCTGATTGGCCATGACAATATTGTCCCCTCACTTTCCCTCCTGCAAACAGGACTGAATGACACCACAGGTTACTGTACCCAGTAGACACAAAATTCCTCATCCTCAAAAACATGAAGAGAAAAAAAAGAGGAGAGGCTATTTGAAAACCTGATTTGGATATGGACACTTGATCTGATGCTGGACAAACCAAATGATCCGGCAGAAAGAGGCAGTGGCTGTGTTCCAGACCAAATACTCCCCTGTAACAAGGTTGTTCACTACACCCCATAAATCTAAATTGAACTAAAGGATGACGCCGTGAACACTAATAACTGAGATTTTTTTTATTAAAGGGCCAAAAATCTCTGACCTTGCCTCTATAATAATATTTGTCTTGCTTAACTCAACTGGATGCATGATTGAGAAACTCACGCATCTGAGAAAAGATAAACATGGACTTCCACATAAATTGGGAAAATAACTTCTCATCCATGATTACCTGTCTGTTCAGATCACTTCAAGAACAAGTGTGCAGGGAGGGTGGGGTCTGTATTTAGTTTGGAACGGAGCCGCCGCAGATACAAAGAAGAGCCCACATTTATAGATGCACAAGAGCTGTGACGTCGCCATGAGCTTATTACGTCATAGTAGCAAACGGGTGTGACTGACCGTAATGACACAACAGAGCAGCTGCAGAAACCCATCAAGTCCCCTGAAATGTTAGTCATTCTTTAAACTGTACTATTGTGGAGACCTTTGATCTACAGACGATGTTTCTCAAATCTGACAGCACACAAATTAACACTTAAGTGAAGCAATTTCTCCAAGTTTATTATTATTAGGTGTTTTTGGATTGACGCTTTGTCCTGGTTTCACTCCTTGGTAGCTGCCTCAGTTCCAAGGGGACATCGATGAGATCTGCATACTCTGTAAACATCAACAGTGCCATCTGAAATGCGATGATGAGCTAGCGCCCGCAGTAAGGGCGGTGCTGGTATTACACCCCTCCCCCACCCCGTTCCCAATGTCCCTCAGTTTACAAGAAACAAACAGGAAATAAAAAGATTAAAGAAACAAAAAGAAAAGAAAAATAAATCCCCCCACCCCCAACTGGGCCTGTCAGCGCAACATTGACTTCAAGCGTGTAGGAGTGTGTGTGTGTGTGTTGTGTGGGTGTGAATCAGTGTGTGTGCGGCCGTGACCGCCAGAGTCTCTGAGAATATGTGAGAACTGGTGTGTGTGCGTGCGCGTGGAGGCTCCATGGGGGTGAGGGGGACTCCTAGTATTTCTTCCCCGGGACAAACTCCTTCGCCTCGGGATTCAACATGCTCTTCCTCTGCAGACAAAAACACAAACGAGAGTAAGAAAATCTTTCTTTTCACTTGAATGTATTCTTTAACCATTAATTTTCTAGAATAAGCAGTTGGTGTAGGAGAGGTAAAAAATAAAAAATCTGTCCCATACATTTTTTTTAAAAAAAACGATTCTTTTTAAACCTGAACCCCAGAGATATTTACTTTAATAAGATATAAAAGTGAAATCTGCATAATTGAGATGCTGAATACAGACAATTGTATTTCTCTTTATGTGTAATTAAATGCTCCTTTGACTCACCGCCACTTCCTCCAGGTTGTGGTGATCGTTGACGGACAGCCCGTTGAGCTGCTGCTGCAGCTGCCCCACCCCCTGGTTGTTGAGGTCACGTGAAGGGATGAACCAATCCTGGTCCTCCTCTTCCAGCATTTCCTGGAAGCAGCGTTCCAAGAACTCCTGCTCCAAGAGCTCCTCTTCCACCTGGGGGGGGAAATAGAACGATGAGTGTTGACATTGGTGGGCAAAAGAGCAAGGGGAGGAATATAGGAGAGATCATTTGCATGATATGTGGGTAAAAGGTCCCCTAAAGAGGAATCTTGTCGGTAATGTAATGGCACTTGATTCATCCAGGCGAGCAAGAGAAAAGGATGAGATACAGAAAGAGAAGGAGAGGGTGGGAGGCATAAGCATGTATTTATACAGGATGGCCTCAGTGAGTGAAGAGACAGGAGGAAGGAAGGGGGGGCTGAGTTGGGTAAGACGCAGTAGGAAGGGGCCGAACAGCAATAAGAAGCAGAGGGAAAGTGGAGAGGTCATTTCGAGAAATCTATGTGTTTTGGAAAAACAGAAAGGGCAGACGCCAAGTAAAAATAAGAAATAGGAGTGGAATGAAACTACGAAAGGACCTCAATCCAAACTTAAAAATCGGTTGGAATATTAGGAATTGTCCATGGTATGAGCACTCACCTGTCTGTTATACTCTTCTTCGTTCTCCATCCACATGTACTCAGCGAAGGGATTGGCGTCGCTGCCCTCTCCTGCGTGCCCATTGGCCACCGGCTCCTTTCCCTCCTTCCCTGGAGCTCCGCCTCCCGGTGTCTTGGCCACCTCTGGACCGCTCATCTCTGCCGGCTCTGCACGACAACACAGGTACAAAAAAAAGTGT